ACAACTGTGCCACACTCCCTTCTTGATTTTAAACCATGCAGTGTCCCCTTGTTCTGTATGAATGATAGCCTCCTGGTCAACGTACAGGTTCCTCATGAGCACAATCAAGTGTTCTGGAATTCCCATTCTTCTCAATGTCATCCACAGTTTGTTATGATCTACACAATCAAATGCCTTTGCATAGTTGATAAAACACAAGTAAAAATCTTTCTGGTATTTGCTTTGAGCCAGGATCCATCTGACAGCAGCTATGATATCCCTTGTTGCATGTTCTCTTCTGAATCCAGCTTACACCTCTGGAAGTTCTCTGTCAATATACTGCTGCAATCATTTTTGAATTATCTTCAGTAAGATCTTCCTTGTGTGTGATATTAATGATATTTTTAAAAATAATTTCTACATTCTTTGGGATCACCTTTCTTTGGAATGTGTACAAATATGGATCTCCTCCAGTCAGTTGACCAGGTAGCTGTTTTCCAAATCTCTTGGTATAACTAAGTGCCTCCAGTGGGGTATCTGGCACATAGCAAACATCGTATCATCATCATCATCTATTATTGTTGTCTTTGGGCTTCAGAATATGTAGGGTTTATGTATGTGTGTGTATCTATATATGTCTCCTCTAATAAATAGACATGTGTTTTATTCTGCTCCAAGGAAGGTAGCTAAAGTTAATATTTTTGTTGAAGTGTGTATATTTAATAATTGTACTTCACTCACTACTTGGTAGTTGCTACTTTGCAGTCATAAATCAGACAAATGTGCATATGACTGGTTATAATGAAATTATGATTGTGTCTCTTAAATTCTCAATAGGAGCTTCTGAGCAGGACATCTTTAGAAACTCAGAAATTGGATCTGATGGCTGAAATATCTAACTTGAAGTTAAAACTGACTGCTGTAGAGAAGGATAGATTGGATTATGAAGATAGGTTCAGAGACACCGAGGTAAGTGACACTGTCTCTCTGTCTCTCCACTCTTTCTTTCTCACATGTACATACACACACACACACATACTCCTAGAGCAAAGTTGAAATTCTTTGGTCTCTCTCTCTTTCTCACATGCATACACACACACGCGCACACACACACACATATTCCTAGAGCAAAGTTGAAATTCCTTGGAGGTGTAACAGGGCAGCAGTTAATTAATATATGCCTTCATCCATGCTTCTTTTTAAGATAAACTTAAATTGCATTGACCTTTTATCACATAAATGTTAATGGCAGTTTTAATCTTGAGACTTTTATGAAATATTATTCATCTTAGAAATACTTTTGGCTTCAGGATATTTGAAACAGCTATCTATCTGTCTATACATCCACCCAAGTATTCATCCAGCTATCTATCCATCTGACCATGCTGATTTTCCTAATTTTGTAAATAGTAGGTTTAAGTGCCTGATTTTAGGTATTATTTAGATACACTGATTATTTATTATGTAATGAGTGAGTACATGTTATATGTATAGAGAATATGCTTATGCTTAAATTATCTAATCATAAAATCACAGTGCTTTTTTGAGGTCATTTTATTTGGCCTTTGACTTTGGGGCTATTACAAACCTTTATCATTCCAGGACCAGGTAGTGTTTCGTTCTGCTGTACGTAGGGTTGCTATGAATTGAAGAGGACTCGATGGCACCTAACAACAACAACAATCATTAATAAAGCTCACTATACTTTTGTGCTGGGAGCTCTGGTAGCAAGGTGCCTAAGGCACTTGACTGCTAACCAGAAGTCTGGCGGTTCAAACCCACCAGCCACTCTTCAGAAGGAAGATGGGGCAATCTACTTCCGTAGTGAATCTGCCTCGGAAACCCAAGGAGGGGTCGCTATGAGTTAGGTCAGACTCGATGGCACATAACAACAACAACATACTTTTGTGCTATGCCAAGAAATTTGGAAGACAGCTACTAGGCCAGCTGACTGGAAGAGATCCATATTTGTACCCATTCCAAAGATAGTTGATCACACAGAATGTGGAAATTATCAAACAGTATCTTTAATCACACTCAAGTAAAATCTTAATGAAGATAATTAAAAAACAATTGCAGCAGTATGTTGACAGAGAGCTTCCAGAAATGCAAGCTGGATTCAGAAGAGGTCATGGAATGAGAGTTATCATTGTTGTCACATGAATCTTGGCTGAAAGCAAAGAATACCAGAAGGATGTTTACTTGTGTTTTATTGACTACACAAAAGCATTTAATTGGATCATAACAAATTATGGATAACACTGAGAAGAGGGAATTAGCACATTTAATTGTACTCATGAGGAACCTGTACATAGACCAGGAGGCTGTCATTAGAGCAGAACAAGGGGATACTGTATGGATTAAAATGAGGAAGGAAGTGCATCAGAGTTGTATCCTTTCACCATAATTATCCAATCTGTATGCTGAACAAAAAAATTTGAGAAGCTGAACTATATGAAGAAGAACATGGCATCAGGATTGGAGGAAGATTCATTAACAACCTGCAACATGCAGATGACACAAAATGAAAATGACTTGAAGCACTTGCTGATGAAGATTAAAGACTACAGTCTGCAGTATGGATTACATCTCAACATAAAGAAAGTGAAAATCCTTATAACTGGACCAATAAGCAGCATCACGGTAAATGGAGAAAAGATTAAAGTTGTCAGAGATTTTATATTACTTAGTTCCACAATCAACACCAATGGAAGCAGCACTCAGGATATCAGATAACATATTGCATTGGGCAAATCTGCTGCAAATGACCTCTTTCAAGTGCAGAAGAGCAAAGATGTCTTTTTAAAGACTAAGGTGCACCTAACCCAAGCCATAGTATTTTCATTTGCTTCATATGAATGTGAGAGCTGGACAATGAATAAGAAAGGCCAAAGAAGAGTTGATACTTTTGAGTTGTGGTGTTGGCGAAGAATACTGAAACTACCATGAACTGCCAAAAGAACTAACAAATCTGTCCTGGATAAAGTGCAGCTGGAATGCTCCTTGGAAATAAGAATGGCCAGACCTTGTCTGACCTACTTTGGTCATGTTGTCAGAAGGGACCATTCTCTGGAAGAAAGGATATCATGCTTGGTAAAGTGGAGGGTCAGTGAAAAAGAGGAAGGCCCTCAACAAGATTGATTGACACAGTGGCTACAGTGATGGGCTCAGGTGTAGCAAGGATTGTGAGGCCGGCACAGGACCAGGCAGTGTTTTGTTCTGTTGTACATAAGGTTGCTATGAGTTGGAGCAAACTTGATGGCACTGTAGTGCCTAAGGCACCTGACTGCTAACCAGAAGGCTGCAGTTCAAACCCACCAGCCACTCCTTGGAAGGAAGGCTGAGCAATCTACTTCCATAGTGATACCACCTCCGAATCCCAAGGAGGGGTCATTATGAGTTGGATCTGACTCGACAGCACATAACAACAATAACAACAACAGGAGCTCTGGTGGCATAGTGCTAAGGCATTTGACTGCTAACCAGAAGGCTGGCGGTTCAAACCCACCAGCCGCTCCTTGGAAGGACGGTTGGGCAATCTACTTCCATAGTGATATAGCCTTGGAAACCTAAGAAGAAGCCTCTATAAATTGGATCTAACTGCACAGCAATGAGTTTGGTTTTTTTGTTGTTGCTTTGGAATACCAACAATACATACTACTGTGGAATTCAGGATAGATTCTGTAACTTGTAATAGTTATTTTAGTGGCTAAATAAACTTTATTGTTTGTTCTTCTTCTTTTATTGTTAATCCAGGTGATCTAGTTTGTATATATGTTGGTTTGTTGGTAGGGGAGAAAGGCTATCCATTTAGAGGAAGTCTTAACGTGTACAACAGTTAGTTTAATTTGAGTACTGCGTGTTAACTAAACATTAGGACTGAATTGCACTAAATGTTTTATGATTTTTGTTAGACCTTAAAGCAGTATTTATGTCCCTTCAGCCTGTCTAAATTTTATATACCAAAACCCAAACCAATTGCTGTCCAGTTGATTCAGAGTCACTGTGACCCTATAGGACAGAGTACAGCTGCTGTATAGGATTTCCAAGGCTATAATCTTTACAGCCGAATCTTTCTCCTGTGGAATGGCTGGTGGGCTCAAACCACTGACATTTTGGTTAGCAGCTGAGTGCTTAACTATTGCACTCCCAAGTCTCCTTAAATTTTGTATAGAACTTTTCTTTTTTTTAACCAGTGCTTCCTTACTTCACTCATGTATTCTCAAATATATGTAAAACTCTCTTATAATCAAACTGCCAGTAAACATAATCTCTGATAGTTTTCTAATAAATATTTAACACTTTTGGTAAAAGGTATTATGCACACACCCAGATCATAGGATTTTTAATAAACTTTGTGATAGTATATGTATAAATAATTAAAACATAAAACCTCTTTTTCCTCTTATCATTGTTCCCTTCATAAAAATAAAATGGGTACCTGGCTATTTCATGAACCTGAAATCCTTTAACTTTGTCTTAGAATATGAGATCATTTGGATAGCAATATCTAAGAAAATACTGAAGTAGGGAATAAATAGTGATATTTCCTAAAGGTTTTGAGGGAAAGTCTGTAAACCTTGGTAGATTCAGGATTGCCTGACCTAGGAATTGCTGATAGGAAGTGTTTGGTGTAATTCAATACTGCCCCCTTGTGGTCAAGGTATAGCTGTCAGAAATTGAGTAATAGAAGCCCAGAGAGTTCTGAAACAAACCTGGATTTTCTTTTATTAAAAAAGGACTGCACTTTTGTTAAGAAAGTAGTTGAAATAATTTGTATTCCGTTTTCTAAAGTTTTAGGTCAAAGGAGCTACTTCCAGGTTTTCCAGCATGCGTTATGAAAGGACTCTGATTTCTTTCAGATTGGAGATTGAATTCCTATTTAGTGTTGCCATGGAAGATTGTTGTTGTCGTCGTTATGTGCCATCGAGTTGGACCCGACTCATTGCGACCCCTCCTTGGGTTTCTGAGGCAGTATCACTGTGGAAGTAGATTGCCCAACTTTCCTTCCTAGGAGTGGCTGGTGGGTTTGAACCGCCAGCCCTCTGGTTAGCAGTCAAGTGCCTTAGGCACTATGCTGCCAGAGCTCCTGCCATAGAAAATGGTTGTTTTTGATGTTTTCTTAATAGAAAAATGATCCCATATTATAATTTCATCTTCTTCAATTGTTTCTTCTTAAAAAATTGCCACTATTTCTAAAGTGGGAAAATAAAATAGCAAGTAGGAACTCAAAGCTGTTTCTTAAGAGTGAGAACGTGAGAAGCTAATAAAAGACAGAATTGATAAAGGAAGATCATGAAGGGCTCATAATTTAAATGAATGGGAGAAACTGGGACTTCAGTTGGAGTCACAACTAAATGTCACTGAATGATGTAAAACAATTTCCTGCCTCCTATGTAAAAAGGACAAAATAGATATACTCTGAGGCACTGTGATTGTTAATAAGTAATTGTTACATAATAATAATAGGTAAGAATTCATATTTTTTCCTATTTTACAAGACACAATTTAAAAGCATGTGGACTTTTTGGGAAGTGTATTTCATTATAGCATCTCTTTCTCTAGTCTTTGTCAGTTTAAATAATCACACTAGGAAATTTAGAATAATCCCTAGTTAATAAATTTTTATTTCTTGTAGCATTATTGTTATAGCCTAAGCAGTATCACAATAAATGGAGAAAAGATTGAAATTGTTAAAGATTTCATATTACTTGGCTCCACAATCAATCCCAATGGAAGCAGCAGTTAAGACATCAGACACTGTATTGCACTGGGCAAATCTGCTGCAAAAGACCTCTTTAAAGTGCTGAAAGCAAAGATGTCTCCTTGAAGACTAAGGTGCGCCTAACACAAGCCATGGTAATTTCAGTCACCTCATGTACATGTGAGAGCTGGACAATGAACAAGGAAGACTGAAGAAGAGCTGATGCTTTTGAGTTGTGTTGACGAAGAATACTGAAAGTACCATGGACGGCCAGAAGAATGAACAAATCTGCCCTAGAGAAAGTGCACTGGAATGCTCCTTAGAAGCGAGAATGGCCAGACTTCATCTGACCTACTTTGGTCATGTTATCAGAAGGGACCATGCCTTAGAGAAGGATATCATTCTTGGTAAAGTGGAGGGTCAGTAAAAAAGGGGAATGCCCTCAACAAGATGGATTAACATGGTGGCTGCAAGGTGTGGCAAGGATTGTGAGGCTGGCACAAGACCGGGCAGTGTTTTGTTCTGTTGTACATAGGGTCACTACGAGTCGGAACTGACTTGGCAACACCTAACAATAACAACAACATAACATTATTCTGCTTTTTAAATGACATTTTTGCATAATTCTGTTCTGTAGTCTTTGAATTTGTCTTGGACAATGGAAGAGTGTAAACACAGTAATCATTGAAGGCACCTTCAGGCTTATAGTAATAGAAATCATCTTCACAGACTACTTGAGCTTCTCTTTTTGATGAGTTGATATCATTTAGCATTACTTCTTTTTGCTACTCTGGATGCTAGATAAAAAAATATACCACTATTTCTCAAAATATGTAATCAAATTTAAACAGAGAATTAATTTTAAAAAAAAGTAGTGGTAGAAAAGTTGTCCAATTGTATTATAAAGACATTAGGATTGTTTTATTTTTATTTTCCAAATACAAAGTTGTATTGATATTGAATATGTATACCTCCTCGTGTATCGCCTATCTTGTTATCAGGCATTTAGCATTTATGACAATAGTGAAAATTATCTACTGCCCAACTATTTTGCATATTAATGCAATATGTCTGGCAGTAACAAATGCCAAGGTGTGAGGCAAATGTAATGCTGGCCATGATGGTTAAAGTTTTGTGTCCATTTGACTGGGCCGTGATTCTCAGTGGCTTGGCAGTTACATAATGATTATCATTTTGTGATCTGACGTGGTCATCCTGCATTTCTCACATAATGCCAAGTCTCATTTAACAACCTGGTCTTTGGGACACAACCATGAGACAAGTGAGGAGTGGGTGTATTTGCCGTCAGTCTACTCAAGTTGAGAACCCTTGATTTCAAGGACTTAAATTATATTCTCTTCTCTCAGATTGGGTTGAACAATCTGTGTTTTTGTAATAAATATTCATGTATCACTGACAAAGCAATACGAGTAAAAGTCTTTACAAAGGAAAATGTCTGTGGTTTATTTTTAAAGACAGAATTCGTACAGACATTTTTCATCTATAAAAATCTGACAAATGAGAGCAAGTGATTAGCTACTTTTCTTCATAAAAATTAGAGTCACTTTTTTTTTCATCATTCCATCATTATAGAGTGGAGGCATTGAAAATTTAAAGCAATATTTTAAACTGGAGAGATGCTTTGACTAACAAGGAGATATATTTATTTCCATCTATCTCTGATCAAATTAATGCAACTGTAGTCCTTAGTTCTACTCTGTTCTGTAGGATCGCTGTGAGTTGGAATTGACTCTATGGTAGCGGATTTGGTTTTTAGTTGTTGTTAGCCCTAGAAGCTGTTGACTTCTTAAGGTTTTCAAGCTGCTATGGGTGGTGCAAATAGTTAAGCACTTGGCTATTAACTGAAAGGCTGATGACTCAGATCCACCCAGATGTGCCTCAGAAGAAAGATCTGGCAGTCTCCTTCCAAAGAGTCGGCCATTGAAAACCCTGTGGAGCACTGTCCTACTCTCACACACGTGGGGTTGTCCTAAGTCAGAGTAGACTTGACAGCAACCTGATTATCTGTTTTCCTAATGTGTTTCCTTGTTTTCCTTTTGGACAGGGACTAATGCAGGAGATCAATGATTTGAGGTTAAGAGTCAGTGAAATGGACAGTGAAAGACTTCAATATGAAAAAAAGCTTAAATCAACCAAAGTAAGTTTTCTCACCAGTAAAAATCTTTGAGCAAATGTCATCACTACTTATCTATGATCAGTAATATATATATATAATCTATTTTCTACTTAGTATATGATAAAGAACGTATTGTACAAGTGAATAAAGTGTTTCTGCATGCTGGAAACCTCTTTGAACATAAATACTACGGTTCTGAGTAAAAACCAGGGCTTAACTAATCTGATAGCACATATCCTGTCATTTCTCTGAATTATCTTACCCTCTTTGTAAGCTAAAACTATTTTCTTGGTTATTTAGCGTATCTTTTTCTACCTGTAGTTTTCTTTCTCTCCTCTGCCTCTCTACCAGTCTTTAATGGCCAAACTTTCTAGCATGAAAATCAAAGTGGGTCAGATGCAGTATGAAAAGCAGCGGATGGAACAAAAATGGGAGTCACTGAAGGTGCAGTAGACCTGGGTGATGGGGCTTGTGGCCTGTTGCTCTCTGCCTGGTGTTGTTTTGCTGTGATGCTATTTTCAGAAGCATGGGCATTCATTTTGTATGTGTGTCACCTGTTTATTAAAAATTTCTTTAAAGCCAATTAAAGGGACAGTGTGAACCCTACTATTTGTTTTCAGAAATGTATGAAATAATTAGTGAAAAGTAATAAACAGGTAAAGTAAAAGTATTAGTTTACAAATTAAATCTATCTATCTTAGACTGTTGGAGACCCAACCACAGTAAAATAATTGTAAAAGTTCACCTATGAATGAACTTTGTTTTCTGTCAGCAGTAGACAGTGTTTTCCTCCTTCAGGATTTTCTAAAAGGGAAATGTGTACAGCAGTTAACTCCATGGTGCTGTGAACAGAAGTCAGTGCTTAGAGGCAATGCTAGTGCAGATGTCTTGTACTTGGCATCTCTCCTACCATAAAAGTAAATGAAAGCTGTAGGAACAATTTCCTAGCTTCATTGGAGAGCTACATCTTCTCATGCTACTGAAAGGAATGAATATGTTTGGAGACTGAAAATAAAAGTGTTGGTGAATATAAACCTGTATTTATTAGCATTGCATTGCTCCTTTTTTTTTTTTTTTTTTTTTTAACATTAAATATAGCCTGTGCAGCTTCAGTTTGTGAAACCAAAAAAAAAAAAAAACAAACAAACTCACTGCCATCGAGTTGATTCTGACTCATAGCAACCCTCTTTGGGTTCCAAGGTGGTCAATCTTTATGGAACTAGATTGCCCAGTCTTCCTTTTGTAGAGTGGTTGGTGGGTTTGAACTGCCAGCCTTCTGGTTACCAGTCAAATGCATTAGGCACGAGGCCACCAGAGCTCCTTCAGTCTGCAAAAGCTAAGTAGATATTCTTTACCAAAATGAAGCAAAATAAAAAAAATTAGTAAATATATAAAACATTGGGCTTGGAATCTTTAAGAGTTATATGGTAATGTAAAGATACAGAGCTTAAATATCTGTTCTCTAAATGTATTTTTTTTTCCATTGTTGGAGGAGATTATGTCCTTTTATCTTAGTCATGGGAGTAAGTTATTTAGTCCCATGATTTGGCTAAAGTTGTTCATGACCTGCTAATTTACCCAGTAATTAAGCTCTATGCTTATAGAGGGAGCATGAGTAGCATCTTGAAATGAGGAATAAACGTCAAATGAGTGTTAATACATACTCCAATTTGCATTTTATTTTGTTTTTATGACACTACACATCTAATTTGATTATCTTCCTTGATTAACTTGGTCAGGTTTTCCATTTAACACAATATTCCAACCTTAGAGCTATTTTAATCCCAATTACACTTTAAGAAGTACGTTTTTTGTTTCTTGTTTTTCTGCTCTCAAAGAAACATGTAAGAATTGTACCATCATTATTATAAGTTAGACTTTTATCATCTTCCTGCTTATCATTGCCACTGTCTGATTTCTGAAGTGTGTGTCTAAATTCTTACAGATTTTTGTTGCATTCATTAAAAATGAATTACTGATTTAAGTAAGGTAATGTGCTTTCTGAAAATTCCCTTTTAGTCATAAAGTACTGTTTTAAAATGGATTTATAATTTGTAGGATGAATTGGCATCTCTGAAAGAACAACTAGCAGAGAAGGAATCTGAAGTAAAAAGGCTACAAGAAAAACTGGTTTGCAAGATGAAAGGAGAAGGGATTGAAATTCTTGATAGAGGTGAGAATATTTATTTGACACTTGCTATCTTCCTTTGTTAAAATTCTTAAAGATCTATAAAAGAATCTGATGTTAATTAGTATGCAATTTTAGCATCAAAGAAGGGGAAAGGTATCAGCAGCCATCTAGGCCCAGATCCACAGGGAATTCTCAGAGACTTGTTTACTGTGATTGGGAATCTATTAGCAGCTGAAGAAGGACAGTTCTGTACTTTTTTGGGTGTTCATTTTAGATTACTAAATTGTAACTTTTCTTCATTATTTATTATTGTCCGAATTGCAATACAAGGAGTGTCAAGATGAACTATTCAGAAACCTATCCTGCCCTTCTGAGAGAAGGCCCATAAGTATACATGGTTCTGTATCTCTGAAAAACCAATAAATATTTCTTACCATAGACTGAACCCTCAACCTTTTAGAAAGCAAAAATAGGCTAATTTGGTTTTGGGGGAAGATGTATGAATGTATCCAAAACTTTTTCCATACTGGCAGAGGCTTCTAATAAAGTAGATTATGTTTAATATAAACTAACTTGAATAAAATGTGTTTTATTTCAAAGTGTAATGCATATTATGTCTGATAATGCTAGTTAGAATTCAATCTTTCTTTGTGATTATAAATTCTTTGTGACTGTGAACACTACAAGATACAAAAAAAAAAAAAAATACTTGTGACTCATCCAAGACAGAACAAATCCCATTTAGTGTAACATTGGTACATTTTTATTATGTGAGAGTTAGTAACATTAAAGGATAATGAGGGACTTGAATTAAATTACCTCTAAAGTCTGTCTTGGTACTAGAATACAATGATGATGTTATATACCTGTAGGTATCACAACTCCCTATTGATCAGAAAAACTCAGTTTACTGAGAGAAATGGATTCTCCTATATTTTGGCATATGTTGAATTGTGTTTTCTTAAAGGAAATTCAGAAACAGATCATGTTTTTAGGGTTCTAAACCCAAATAGAGTCATTGGACTTGTAGGCTAGAGGAGGATATATTGGAGTAGAGTTGCCCAAAGTCTGGCCCACGGACTGGCAACTAGTCTGTAGACTGTTTGTTGCTGTGCACAAGGGTTTGAGAGCAAGCTTTTAGAAACTTCAGGGCAATCTGCTATTACAATAGCTTCTAACTGCATGGTCAGTGTACTTGTCTCACTGAGAAGATAGACCGGCTCAGTGTTATTGAACTAGAGTAGTGAGTTGACCGTGACATAAGCAGTGTACTAGTCACATACAAGAGGACCACATATCAGACTGTGACAGGAATGTTTAAAAAAAAAAAAACAAAGACAATTCTACCTGGGTGTTTACCAAATAGAGTATAATGAATATAAAAAAGCCAAAACAATAATAATTAGTTTCACTAAATATAGTGTGATGAAAATGTAAAAGGAGAAAAAAACCTCATTTTTCATCAAATATAGCATAAGAAGCACATGTACTCCAAAGGCCTAATTTTGATACAAATAAATTAATGTGCAAAAAGATGATGTCACAGAGGTGGCACTAGAATTTGAGTCTTCTGATTTACTTAGGATTCTCTTTCTAGTCTCACACAGGGCGTTTTTTGTTGTAGGTACCAGTCCTAATGCCTCACAACAGTGCTTACATTCCAGTCCTTATGAGATTAGAGTCCCTTTATTATAGGTAAATAGAGACTGAATAATAGTGCTTTCAAAATACCGTTTCTTGTTGTAATAATGTACGCTAACTTCCAAATCGATGGGTTTTCCTGCACAGATGAAAATTTTAAAAAGAAGCTCAAAGAAAAAAGTAAGGTTTTTGATGTCTTTCCATCAGCCTTTACATTCATCAAAAGTGCTACTTGGACTGCTGTTTGCATGTGTTTTAAAACATTTCTCTCACCAAAGACGTAAAGTTGCTTCATCGATAAGCCCTCCATTTCTTTAGAGTGTATAAAACAGAGGGTAAGCAAAGATGCAGAGTGAATGAGGAGTAAAAGATTGTTTTGCAGATTTTCTCTGATTCAGCTCTTTTGCTCCACAGGATACAACAGTCCACTCAGAGTGGTGGAGGTGAGAAAAACGTTTTTACTATGGTCCAAGAGGTCCAGGGTCAGAGGAGCAAATAGCGATTATACTCTTTTGAAAACTCACCATTCTTAAGGCTTACCAAAAAAGCCAAACTCGTTACCGTCAAGCCAGATCTGACTCAAAGCGACCCTTCCTTGGGTTTCCGAGGCACTATCACTACGGAAGCACATCACCCAACCTTCCTTCTGAGGAGTGGCTGGTGGGTTTGAACCGTCAGCCTTCTGGTTAGCACTCAAATGCCTTAGGCACTATGCTGATTCTGGTAGGCCATTTGACTGCTAACTCTGGCAGCATAGTGCCTAAGGCATTTGACTGCTCAAACTCACCAGCCACTCCTCAGAAGGAAGTTTGGGTGATCTGCTTCCGTAGTGATATCGCCTCGGAAACCCAAGGGAAGGGGTTGCTGTCCAACTGGATGGCAGTGAGTTTGGTTTCTTAAGGCTTACCAACATTAAAAGATCAATTTGAAGTTTTCTTTTGCTTTTCGGTGTTTTGAATCCCACTGTTGGTTGAGGTCTACAACAGGCACAAAAAAGGACCCCGGTGGCATAGTGGTTAAGTGCTCAGCCGCTAACCAAAAGGTTGACGTTTCAAACCCACCAACCGCTCTGTGGGAGAAAGATGTAGCTGTCTGCTTCTGTAAAGATTTACAGCTTTGGAAACCCTATAAAAAAGACTAAACTTACTGCCGTCCAGTTGATTTGATTCATAGCGACCCCCCTTTGGGTTTCTGAGGCAGTATCTCTGCAGGAATAGATTGCCCAATCTTCCTAACAAGGATTGGCTGGTGGGCTTGAACTGTTGAACTGCCAGCCTTCTGGTTAGCAGTCAGATGCCTTAGGCACTACACCAGAGCTCCCTGGAAATCCTGTGGGGCAGTTCTAATCTGTCCTATTGGGTCACTATGAGTCAGAAACGACTCAATTGCAGCAGGACAAAAGACACTTGCTACCCTGAAGCCTGGCGGTTCAAACCCACCAGCCACTCCTGGGAAGGAAGATGGGGCAATCTACTTCCATAGTGACACTGTTTCAGAAACCCAAGGAGGGGTCCCTATGAGTCATGTCCAACTCGACAGCACATAACAACAACAACACCTTGAATATATCCTGTGTATTTTTGGTGTTACAGAAGAGATTGTCTCCAGGCCTGTTAATGAAGCCTGAATTATTTAATGCAACATAAAGATAAATCTTTGGTGGGATCTTGCCCCTAGACATGGAATCTTTCAATCAAGGGAATGTACCTGTAAAAAAAAAAAAAAAAAAAAAAGGTCAGAGCATCAGTTTCTGAAGAATACCCCTTAATTGAAAATATTTTATCAGTGCTGAATGATGAAAATGTTTTATCAGTGCTGAATAATGCATCAGTTATCTTAAGTAGTATATATTTTTTCCTCAGAAGCAAGCAACTGTAACTGATAGGTTCTTCTCAGTTTCCATTTTTAATTTGTGGTTTCACTTTGAGGTGACTTTTCTTGAAAGTATGTGTTCTTTTATTATTAAGGTAACATGCTTTTGTATTTGAATTTCACATTTTAAGGAAAATCAGATTCAGCTTTCTTTGGCTTTTAGGTCTCAAAATGTTTTAAAATAGTATTGGAAATGAAGTTTATAGATGAAGCAAAGTACTTATTATCCATCTCTATGGAGCCGACAACCAACTTCTTAGCATGACTACTCATGTAAACATCATGCTCCATCAGGCTTTTCCATGTGCGCCTCCATCTTGATTACAACTAAATGTCATTTTCTCTGCTTTTACCATTAAGTACACTGTTCATTGCTGTCATCCACTGCTTTATAGTTTTCTTTCATTTATTTATTTTGAAAACTTCATGGTTTTATTGTTAAAGCACTCAAATTTCATTTTCAGTAATCTCATGAGGATGCTGTTCCTCAGAGAGAGAGGGTAATTAGCTCTTACATATTATTACTCTTTCTGGAATAAGGACTGTTTAGGTGAGGTAAACCAAAATCAAACTCACTGCCATCGAGTTGATTCCAACTTATAGTGACGCGCTTTGGGTTTACAAGGCGGTAAATCTTTCAGAAGTAGAGTGCCCAGTCTTCCTTCCATGGAGTGGCTGCTGAGTTTGAACTGCCAACCTTCTGGTTAGCAGTCAAATTTTTCAGGTTTTACCTAAAAGAGAACATGTGTGTTAAATGTGCCTTCTTTTTTGAAAAACATAACAAGTTATTAACATCTTTACCTTAAAACATTTCTTCTGAAGACTATGTAACTTCTTATCATTGGCACGTGTTAACTGACTTCTGATTTGGTGTTGTGTTCTTTCCAGATATTGAAGTACAAAAAATGAAAAAAGCTGTGGAGTCTTTGATGGCAGCAAATGAAGAAAAGGTATCCAAATGAAATTTATTTGGATGTTTTATAACACCACTTTGATTATTCCAAGTGTTTTCTGAAGATATCCCAGTTTGAAAGAATATACCTAAAACACTATTGATATTCTCTCTCTCTTTCCAAATATGTACATCTCAGTGGTGGCAGTTGTGATTGTAGCTGTATGACCAGGAATGGGGACCAGCAGCACTGGCTCTGCTCTTACCTGAGAAACTGCCCCCCCCTCCTACCTGTGAACTTAGACAGTGTTCAAGCTATCAGATCAGTGCTATAATTCAGGTGACTAATGACAGAAAAGGTATCTTCCATAGTTTCCTTTCTGTGGTCACTGGAAATTCATGTGAATTCTAAAAGAAATAGCCTATGACAACTTTAATTCCATAGTCATGGCACTTTTCTTCTCCATATACATATTATTTCCTTTACACTCCTGGCCTCTTTTAATTCTGGATTTGTCTCTGCTCTCCTGAGAGGTGAGATACTAGAAAACAGAAGCACAGGAACTATGAAATTTAAAATGGGCCAAGGCTTTGTTATAACTACACTGACCTGATACCAGGTCTTCAGGGTCTTCTTCCCCAGTTGATTCACCCATATCTGGTGTTTCATCTTCTAAGAACAGTGTGTTACCCTATACTAAGGCAGTGTGTTTCTTCATGGTTTACCTGCTTAGGCAGTTCATGGCCTCAGGACTACTCTCTCCTTGTTTTCCTTTTAAGAATAAAACAATGAGCATTTTCCCAAGAAAAGGGCGATTTCAAGAAAGTTCAAAACAACAAAATGCTAAAGAAGTTTGGCTTAGTCATTTTCTATCATCTTCAGTTTCTTTTTTCCAATTCTTACCTAGTATGTCTGTCTTATCTCTTTTATTTATTTCTGCCTTTCATTCTCTTTGTTTGTTCTTTTATCCATGGAAATAAATTTATTGTCTCCCTCCTCCCAACCCCAATCATACTTTATGTTTAGGATTTTTTTTTTTTTTTTTTGGCTAGTTTTTCTCACATTTGGATAAAAAGAAAACTATCTATCATGCTGCCTCCATAGTTTTTATTTTTAAAAGAATCAGTGAAATTCATTTTGTGTAGTGTCTTTCTTTAAGTAGCATGAAGAGTGGCATGTGTTCTTTGGGGCTTCCAGAAGGCTTCATAGAAGGGGGTATTTGAGCAAATTCTGAGGAAGACCAGGAATTGTTCATCAGAAAAATGAGAGCTTCTAAGTGAAGAGCCCACGAACCAAAACATGTCTGAAAACCAAGGCTTCAGACAGCCCAGTGCATGCTGGGAAATGCTGGTGCATGATATCTAGGTGGTGGAAGTGTGTGAGACTGACAGAAGAGCTGCAGGAAACCATATATGCTAGGCTAATGATTTAGGGTCTTAGCTTGAAGTCCTTGGGCAGTGATATAATTAAATTGACATTTTAGAAAGCTAACTCTGGTGGTATAATGGAGACAAGAATTAAGGACGGAGAGTTAAAGACAGAGCAATTAAGAAGATATTAAAATTGTCTAAATTTCCTTGGATGGCTTATATAGTTTGAACTCAACTGCTAACCTAAAGGTTGGTGATTTGGTGATTCAAACCCTCCCAGTAGCACTATGGAAGAAAGACCTGGCCACATGCTTCCTTAAAGGTCACAGCCAAGAAAACCCTATGAACTTTGTAACACATGGGATCAAATGAGTCAGAATCAACTTGATGGCAACAGGGTTTTTTTTTTTTTTGCTTTTTGCTTTTGTTTTAAATAGCCTAGATGAGAAATGAAGAAAGCTTGATACAGGGCAGTGGCATGATAAAGCAAGGAGGTAAGAGATTCTAGAGAAATGTAGGAGTTGATAAGATTTAAAGGTCTTCATATTTGAAGGAGCCCTTGTGGCATAGTGGTTAAAGTACCTGCTTGCTAACTGAAAGGTTGGTAGTTGGAACCCATTAGACGCTCCGCAGGAGAAAAATGTGGCAGTCTGCTTCTGTAAAGATTTATGGCCTTGGATACTCTATAGGGCAGTTCTACTCCATCCTACGGGGTCACTGAGTTGAAATCAACTCACTGGCAGTGGGTTTGGTTTTAGTTTGAATATTTGAGGAACAAAAGTGGAGCTCTGGTGGTGTAGTGCCTAAGGCATTTGACTGCTAACCAGATGGCTGGTGGTTCAAAGTCACCAGCTGCTCCTTGGAAGGAAGACTGGGCAATCTACTTCCATAAAGATTTATTTACCACCTCAAAACCCAAAGGGGGTCGCTATGAGTCAGAATCAACTCAATGGCAATGAGTTTGGTTTTTTTTTGGTTTTGCAAACCAAAGCTGCACAGGCTATATTTAATGTAAAAAAATGAAGTGATGCAATGCTAATAAATACAGGTTTATATTCACCAATTCATTTTATTTTCAGTCTCTAAACATATTTATTCCTTTCAGTAGCATGAGAAGATGTAGCTCTCCAATGAAGCTAGGAAATTGTTCCTACAGCTTTCATTTACTTTTATGGTAGGAGAGATCCCAAGAACAAGACAAGATACTACCTTGGAAACCCAAGGAGGGGTCGCTATGAGTCGGAATTGACTCAATGGCAGTGAGTTTGGTTTGGTTTTTTTTTTTTTTTTTTTTGGTAAAGAGTGAAATAATGCGATCAGAGGCTCAATCACTGGGGGAAAATAATGAGTTTAATTTTAGACACAGAGTTGAACTTTATTATTCATAAATTTTTAATGTGAATTTGCTTACTTGCTAAAATTTATTTGTAGTCCCAAAATCAATACTTCTCAATGCTTTCACATTCATTCACGAGCATGTGCAAAGTGATGTAAAATTTTAGTCATCCAACATGCACATTCCCAGCTCAGATCAAGCAAGCCAATAGTACTCTGCCTTCTTGTTTCAGTTCTAATACTGTAAACAAATACCTTTTTTTCACAATCTGCTTGTTATTGTTGTGTCCCGTGTAATTGATTCTGACTCACAGTGACCCTATAGGGCATAGTAGACCTATAGGGTTTTCTAGGCTGTAATCTTCACGGGAACAGATGGTGAGATCTTTTCTCCAATTGATCCATCGACCTTTTGCTTAGCTGCCAAGTGCTTAACCACCAGGGATTCTGTGGTATGTTTAATGCCATGTTTTTTGCATTTTTGTGCTTTTTAATAGAGATTTCACTGTTTACAGTACCTCCAAGTGTAGTGCTGAAGTGCTGTCTAGTGTGTCTAAGTATAAGAAGGCAATGATCTGCCTTCAGGAGAAAATGTTTATGTTACTATCTAACAGTCATTATTCATTATTCTGTCATCCAGGCATGGATTATAGTGTTGCTGGCATGAGTTCAATGTTAATGGATCAACAACATATAAATAAGATGTCTTTAAACAGAAACACATATAAAACAAGATTATATATTGATTACTCAATGAAAATATCATGACCAGAGGCTTATAGGAACTGTAAGAGTATTCACCAATTCAGTGTTGACACTGGCTTTATAGGACGTAACTACCACAAATAAGAATTGATTGTATTCAGGAAAAAAAAAAAAAAGTGGTTGTATTCAGTCATGAGAGAATAGAAGGGCTGTGCATGCACAGGATGACAGCTGGGGGGCAGGAGTGCATTGGAGGGAAGGACACAGGAAAGAGGTAACTATGAGAAGGAAGTGGGAGGGGAGCTGTTGCATTGTGGGAAATTGCAGTCAATGTTATGAGACAAAGTGTGTGTGAGCTGCTGTATGGAAAATGAATTTCCTCTGTAAACTTTCAGCCAAATCACTAAAAAAAAAAGATGTGCTTTTTTTTGATGCTCAATTTGATGTGCTTATGGGACATTTAAAAGGAAATTTCTCATAGGAAATTGGAAATTGAATCTGAATTTTAGGATTGAGAGAGAATTGTAGATTAGTGGGGTCTAAGAGTTAATGAAAGAACTCTGGTGGCAGAGTCGTTAAAGCATTTGGCTGCTAACCAAGAGGTTAGTGGTTCAAACCAGCCACTCGGTAGAAGAAAGATGATGGTCTGTTTCCATAAAGATTTACAGCCTTGGAAACTGTATGGGGTAGTTCTACTCTGTCCTATAAGGTTGCTTTGAGTCAGAATCAAGTTAGTGGCAGTGTTTTTTTTTTTTAAAGAGTTGATGAATCAGTTAGCTTTTGCTTCAGGACTAACCACGTTTATTATTTCTCATATTTCTGTGGGTTGGCTGGCTGGTTCTTCTGGTCTGGACTGGTTTGGCTGAGCTCCACAGTCAGCTGGCATCTCAGCTGGGGCTAGATAGTCTAGGATTGTGTAACTCATGTCTGGTGATTGACAGACTGGTCTAGGTTAGGCTTGATGAGATGACTCATCCCTGTTCCACATGGTTTCATCCTCCAGTAGATTAGCCTAGACTACTTCACATGATGATCTCAGGTTTCCCTAGAACAGTAAGAGAGGGCAAGGCCCAGTGTGTAAGTACTTTTGAAGCCTCTGCTTGAATCATGAATTTTGATATCTCATTGACTAAAGTAAGTCACGTGGCCAAGCTCAGGCTCAGTGCGGAAAGGTTTAGGAAAGCCATTTTTACAATCTTCCAGAGTTGAGGAAATGGGGAAAGAGCAGAGCATTGAAGACAAACCTTGAAGCTCTAAGATTTAATGGTAGGAGTTGAGAAGATAGTGATGTTTATAGAAGTAGAATATCTATGTGGTCAAGGAAGTAAGAAATCAAAATAGAAGAAAGCAAATAGAAAAGAAGTGAAAGGATGAAGAGTAGGGTCAGACAAGTGATATATAGAAGTCAAAATAGAAAAAATAATGAAAATGTTCATTGCTTTTAGTAAATAGGATGTCACTAATAACTAATCAAGGCAACTTTAACGAAGTGTTTTGAGAAGAGAAAGATCAGATGGTGATTAATGACAATGGATAAAGACAGCAGGTGTAGATCTTTCTTTCAAGCCTCTTGATTTCTAGGTGAAGTTAGAGAAGAGAGTCATTAAAGTTGGTTTTTTGTTTTGTATCTTATTACTTTTGTTTTTGTTTTTTAAAGATGGCAGCTGAAGGATAGGAGCTCTAATTTTAGAGGTACTTTTTCCATGTCTCTAATGTATGTAGGAAAACTACTCTAGATATTACCATTTTTACTAAAGTTTAGAACATAATCTTTGAAAAAAATGTAAATAATCCATGTCTACTTATTCTTTGTGTCAGATTTACTTTTACCATTTTAAAATCATAGTAGTAAAGATGACGATTTATTTTATTAATAGGATCAGAAAATAGAAGATCTTCGACAGTGCCTGAACAGGTACAAGAAAATGCAAGACACAGCAGTACTAGCTCAAGGTAAAAAAGGTAGTGTGTTGCTCTAAAAGTGTTTCTGCTTTACTTGATTTTCAGTGGCTATGAACTTAATACAATTAGCCTCAGTTTCTGTCACAGACTGCATCTATTGTCCCAAATCAAGTAGCTTATTCGTTCATTCAGCAATATTTACTGGACACCTATTCAATGTACAGGCTGATGAATGACCTATAAATTGGTTGGTTAAGGAGACCTTCTCTAAGGAGTTGATTAGATAACATTCTAGAGAAAACGAATAGTGTTGTTGTTAGGTGCCATCGAGTCATCTCCAACTCATAATGACCTTATGTACAGCAGAACAAAACACTGCCTGGTCCTGTGCAAGCCTCACGATCCTTGCTGTACCTAAACCCATCATTGCAGCCACTGTGTCAATCCACCTTGTTGAGGGCCTTCCCCTTTTTCATTGACCCTCCACTTTACCAAGCATGATATCAGTAGTATTACAAAAGGGACTTTGGAGGAAAAAGGACTTGGTGTATTTAGGGGAAAATTTAGGGAAAAAACAAGACCAGTGGCTGGAAAATAGTGGGCAGTAGAGAGAGTGAGGTGAAATGAGAAAGCAGAGGTGAGCAGGACTAAGTCATGCAAGCGTTTTTAGGTATGGTGAGGAGTCTGGCTCTTGTTCTTAAGCACAGAGGCTTTAACCAGTCAGTAATGTGATCTGTGTGACAAATGGACCATGAGGGAGGGGAGCAGTATTGGAAACAAAAAAAACAGTCAGGAATCTTTAAGTATTCCAAGGGAAAAAAATATGGTAGCATATATTTTGGTGATAGAATCAACATGATGATTGGTGATGAATTAGATGAGGAGAGTGAAGAAGAGGAAGGAATCAAGAAAGAGCCATTTATGACTAAAGCAACTATGTGGATGATGGTTCCATTTCCACATGATGGGGAAGACTTAAGAAGGAACATTGGTGTGGGTAAGGGGGATTAAGTTCAGCTTCAGACATGTTAAGTTCAAAACATCTGTGAGACATCTAAGTAAAGATAGTTCTTTTATTTGCTGATGGGCCAGTAGTTTATCTTCAAGTATAGAAAAGTTTTGAGGGTCATTTAAAATGAACTAAAATGTTAAGAACTTTAAAAGAGCTTTTTTCTGTTAGCAATGCACAGGTAGGCTTATTTTCTCCAAAGGTATTTTAGTTATCTAGTGCTGCTATAACAGAAATACCACAAATGAGAGGCGTTAACAAACAAATTTATTTTCTCAAAGTTTAGGCACCTAGAAGTCTGAATTCAGGGCACGGCTCTAGGGAAAGACGTTATTTTCCTGTGAGCTCTGGAGGAAGGTCCATGTCCCTTTTCGTCATCTGTAGGCTTGACATTCCTCAGCTCCTTGGTGACATTCCTGTCTTGGCATTTCTCTTCCCCATCTCTGCTTATTCCCTTTCTTGTTTAATCTCTTTCATATCTCAAAAGAGATTGACTTAAGACACACCCTATATTTACTAATACTGTCTCATTAATCTAACAAAGTAAACCCATTTCCAAATGGGATTATAACCACAGGTATAAGGTTAGGATTTACAGCACATTTTTGGGGGATACAATTCAATCCATATCAAAAGATAATCACTGGAAATAAGTAAATCTTTTGGAAGGTATCCATGAGACACTGAGGTTTTGAAATTTTAATATGATGAGGTTACAAAGAAAGAAACAGGATCCTCTTTGGATCAGGATTTTTAAAAGAACTGGTACTTTATCTTTTTGTTCACAGAGCCTGGCATGTATTAAGATTATAAATATGTGAATGAGCAAGGGAACCTCTAATTATCACAGTAACTTGTAACAATTGTCATTGTTGTTATTGTTGTTGTTATGTGCTATGGAGTCGGACCCAACTCATAGCGACCCCTCCTTGGGTTTGTGATGCAGCATCACTTTGGAAGTAGATTGCCCAACCTTCCTTCCGAGGAGTAGCTGGTGGGTTTGGACCACTAGGCTTCCGGTTAGCAGTCAAGTGCCTTAGGCACTATGCTACCAGAGCTCCCAACCATTGTCATTGCTGATCATTTAAAAACATTGTAAAATAGAGAAGGTTAAAAATGTCTCTCATAATTGTATTGACCATGATTGCTACTGGCATTTTTGTGAATTTCTTTCTAGTCTTTTTTTTTTCTGTGCATTCAAACACATAGGTTTTAAAAAGATAGTTTTTAAGCCACATATATTGTCATTAACCACTGAAAATTATGTCCCATTCCAATGAAGAGTTGTATAAACAGAGATTTTTTTACTAAGATTTATATTTATTTAATTATCATACAATTTTATAAAACCTAGATACTAATAAAATTTTAATAAAACCTAAATGAAGAGGTTTTGTCTAGTTAAGATCTTTAAATAATTGCATGACTTGCCACTTAGTATTATCCAGAGATTAGCATTTCAAGCACATTCTTTCTGTTTGTTAAAAAAGACTATCTGGCACTGTTGTTCAGCACTTGATTTTCTCATTTCTAGAAATGCAACCAAGTTCTCATAGTTGCTGCTTTGCTAGATGCTTTGTTGCTTTTCTCTATTGGGCTATTCTTTCTACTTTAAAATGACATAAAGAGATCCCCTTGAGGGATGAAAAGGCCATCTGCCTTTTTTTTTCCTATGTCTTTTTTTTACATGGTGACTTATGTTGTTATTCAGAATCAGTTCTTTGTACCACAGATATTCTTTGCTGTGGTTATTTCTAAACTTAAATTTATAAACCTCCAATTTTGAAACAAATAGGAAGGAGGTTGTTGAACTATTTCTAATTTTCTTCTAATCCAGTGAGTCTAATTTTATCAATTAGGACTTCCTTTATGAATACTACTGCTGGTACATCAACATGGCCAAGAGTCCCCAGGTGTCTGCTACTCACAAACTTAAGGTGTTGTGTTCTAGGTCCCATGTTGTATTCTTTCAAGTGATGCTAGGAAAAGTTGAGTCTTAGATTTTAGAGATCAGAAAAATGCTTACATTTAACATACTTCGAATTCCTATCTTATGAAATATAAATGAAAAGCTGCTGTTATCCTCATTTTGCTTTGTCTTTTTCTAGGCAAAGATGGTGAATATGAAGATTTGCTCAACTCTAGTTCCATCTCCACTTTGTTGGATGCTCAGGGCTTTAGTGACCTGGACACAAGTCCATCACCTACTCCAGGAATGGGATCTCCTGGTTGTGACCCTCTTAACACAAGTGTTCCAGAAGAGGTATCTACACACTTTCATTATTTTCTTCATATTTAAGAAACTGTCATTCATAGTTACAACACTCTTCATATCATGAAAGAAAGAGTTCTTTTCTCAGTTTGATTAGTGATTTGGTTTGTTCTGGGATTTGTGTGTCTAAGAGGTCTTTATTTGAACTGTGTGGGCTTTTTTCCCCCCTCTCTTTAATAAAGGTCTTGGGCAATATCCAAATTGCTTACATAATTCAGGGAAAACATTTGAATCCCTTGAAGAGAAGTGCCATCTTAAATAAGAGATTACAGTTTACTTACTTTATTTTTTTAATCAGGGAATGGATAAAGTAGAGGTAAAGTGAGATTATATAAATAAATTCGTTTAGTCACTCTGAGGTTGACTGATTTTTCTTTAGACTTGGAAAAAGCAACTGGAGAGAAATAAACAACTCATTTGTTTTAGTTTTCTAACAAACAAGCACCAAAATCTATTTCAGTTACCTATTGCACACTACCCCAAAACTCTGTGGCTTGCATGACATTTATTTTGCTGATAAATCTGTAATGCGGGCAGGGCACAGCAGGAACATGTCTGCTTCACTTGGTATTAGCTGGTGTGATGCAAAGGGTAAGGGCTTGAGTCATCTCAGGGTTGTTCACTCATATGTCTGGAATTGATGCTGGCTGTTGGCTGGAACCTTAGCTGGGGCCCTGTCTGGAATAACTACATGTGACTGCTTGCTTTCCTCATAGTGTGGTGATCGGGTCCTAAAGACAAGCAATCTAGAAAACCAGGCAAAATGGCATCACCTTTTAGGAGTTTTCTCAGAAGCCATGTAGCATATCTTTCACTGTTGTTGTAGGCTTAGGTTTAAGGAGAAAGAACATAGACTTTGCTTCTTGATGGATGAGTGGCAACATTACATTGTAAGATGCGGCATGGGATATGTTGGTGTAGCTGTATTTAGAAAATAGAATCTTCCACTCTACCTGCTGACTGCAACAATTAACATCTGTCCTGTGAAAAAAAAATACACTCATCCCCTCAGTATCCCATGATATTGTCATTTACATCAGGTCAAGGTGTAAGGGAAGCTGCACAGGTACATTTCCTTGGGTGTAGCTTCTTGACTACCATTCTTTTTGATTTAAAGAATTGGAAATGTAAAGGATAAGCTGCCTGTCCCCTATACACCCAACAAACAGTGGTAGAACAGGCACAGAATTACTGCTGTAGACATTCCCATTCAAAAAGGCGGAGAATGGAAGGCACACAGTGATCACTGCTCTATAGCCATTCTGAAATCCAATCTAGAACAGAGTGCCATTTCTTTATTAGGGTCCAGTCCTCTGGGCTCTTGTTTCTTCCCTCCCAGTCATCCTTCCTTTTCCATAAACATGGAGGCTATATTTGCAACTGAGTAGTTTTTTCTGCCTGCTTTGTGCCTGTAGACATTTGAGAGGCCAAAAGCCTCTTTTCATTTTGTACTGTCTCTAACCTTTTCAATCTCATTTGATGCAATTCTTTTAAAAACTCTTGGGATTTCTTATGATTCAATTTGTAATTCACTGCCTTTGATAAAAGCATATTCACAAATATCTTTAAAATAAGCCTTTCTCTTCTTTCAGTTTTCTGTAAGACTGCTGTGGAGTATGCCCTTAAGATTTTTTAGTGTCTTTTGATCTATTTTTGAAAGTTTCAGTGACACACCACCCCCTTAAATCTTCCTGAGGTTTTAACAAAGGGTTTTACAGCTACACCCTTGTCTTCATCCTAAGATCATGTTTTCCTGACGGAACCTGGGTTTTATCTTTGCTCAGAAACCATTTGTTAATTTTAATATAATTTGCTATCGGGAGAGTATAGGCATTGGAAACAGTTTTATTTTTGAACAAAACAATCTTGACTCCTTTTAAAATTAACAATTCTTTCTTTGGTCATCTTTCCTTTTATATTTTACTATAGGGAGCAAGATGAAGCCAAGAGACATCGTTACTTTATATCTGCTGCTGATGATTATATAATGAGAAAACAACTTTTCTCTCTTAAGTGTAGGAGAAAACTAAAATATGTGTAATTAATCAAGGAATTAGTTAAAGAATAAGAAACTGTTCAGAGGGGGAAAAAAAATTCCCTAACCATTAAATATATATTTATGTTGAAGGGAAAATAACATTTGACAGCTAATGAATGTGCTATATGTGTAGAGAAGGGCTGCTGTTACATTTAAGATACACCCAGATAACCTCATTTCCTTTTAAAGTCTTTGCTGTGTGCACTGTAGTTTAATGATGGATGTTTAGTTTGGAACAAGAATTATTTGGTAAGGATTGAGGAAGTTTGGCTATATTTTTAAAGATCACAGAGGGAGATACAGGGTTTGAGTTAAAGACCTGAAGTTTGTGACAAGATCAAGGAAATGGTTCTGCTAGTGTAGCTGATTTTTTCCCATGATAGGAACCCAAGGAGATACAAGAATTTCAGGAAACAGGGATGGCTATATATATTGCATTAGGTTAATCATGATGATTCAAAATGTAAGAAATTGATAGTGATATAATCTCCTATTTTAAAATAATGTGACCTACATTTTATAGCTTTTCATAGTGTCAGGGAATCCTATCACTACTCAGTATCTGAAACAAAAATCTCAATGCTGAATTGTTAGGAATTATTTTTGGTATTTATTACCTTAGTCACAGTATTCAGTGTCTATTCAGAACCAAGTTTAAAAACTACCTTTTTTCAGAATGTTTTCGCTCATTAACACTTCTTCTATGTAGTTGTTTATATTCTGAAATCATTTTATAAGTGTATTAGAGTTATGAATATAGGTATATGGAATTTTATTGATAGATCTTTTAAATTGCCTTATTTATTTATTTTGTTACTTTAGGGCTTGTGTTGTGTTTATTTGTTTGATTGATTTTGGACTTTTTATATTTAAATTACAGCTCCACACCAGCATCTTGCAAGTTTCAATCCCTTCACTGCTGCCGGCCTCTAAAGGCTTGGAAACTTCTGAAAAAGCAAAATTGCCTCCTAAACTAGAGACATCATTTGAAGAGAGGTATGTCATTTTTGACCTAACATTGGAATATAATCGCTCAAAATAACAGATCAACCAAAACAAGGGTGCACTGCATTTACTTACAGATTCATTTTTCACCCAGAGAAGCAAGAAACAGCAAGACATGTGCCAGGGGTACTATATTATTAAAATAAAAGATATGAAGCAGAAAGTAACAGGACACAAGGCTAGGGCATTGGAGTGATCAGGCTATAGGAGGATTTTAAGAAACCTGGATTTTATATCCTAGGTATCCATCAAAGGGTTGTAAACAGGATGGTAACACTCACATGGAAGATGGCTATGGAGACAGAGCTATGGAATTTCCTTCTTAGGCAAATATAATTTCTTGCCAACACACTCCCAGATTGATTGCCTAATTTTATAACTTGGCCAAATAAAAATATCAAAAAAAGAGGAATAGCATACTGTACACAATTTTTGTTATTAATAAATCTTTTAACACAGGTTATATATGGATTTTTATTCATTTAATTCATAAATATCTTTTTTTTTTTTCCCACATTTTAGTGATGGAAAAATAATCCTTGGTGCTGATGTTGAAACCCAACTGTGTGATAGTTCTTTGTAAGTTATATTTTACTGAATGTGAAAAATGTGATGGGGTGTTGAGAGAGAGGAGGATTCAGTTATATGAACAATAACCAATATTAACATTGAATGACTTTGAAGCTTGAGTAAATTAATGCAACTGTAATGTTTGGGTGGGGGCGATGTGTGGGAGGGAAGGTTATACACTTAAAAAAAAACCAATTGCCATCCAGTCAACTCCAACTCATGGCAGCCATGTGAGTCAGAGTAGACTGTGCTCCATAGGGTTTTTAATGGCTGATTTTTTCAGAAGTAGATTGCCAAGGCTTTCTTCTGAGATGCCTCTGGGTAGATTTGAACTTCCAACTTTTCGATTAGCAGCCAAGCATGTTAACTGTTGCACTACACAGGGGGTCCACTACAAAGAAGTGCTTGTTCATTGATCATTATTCTGTACCAAGCATTAGCCTACTTTCATCCATTTTTATTTGCAGCCCAATGCTTTAACTTAATTTTTATACCCACTTATATTTTGCATCTAGTAGAAAAGAATCACAGAAAATGATGTGATGACTGGAAAGACTGACATGTATTTTTGCATTTTCAATTTAATAAACTGACCTAATATCTATGTTTATCCAAGTTAAAGTCTGGATTAAATTAGGAAAATCTATTTTCAGAGCAGTACTCAAAGATGAGGTCTTTTCTCATCATTATCTTTTACTTTATTTGGTGGCTGACTACTTTTAGCAGTTTGTATATGTGTAAATACAGGAGAAATGCCTTTTAAAAGTTTGTTCACATATTTATATTATCCCGTGTCATACAACAAAGACATTAGTTTTTTCTCTTCTCTCCCTTTTTAAACTAATCACCCATTCCTGCCTTCAGTTCTGGAGTAATAGCAGCTCTGTATAATTGAATGCTAATTATGTGAAAGAGGAAGTCTACACGCGTTTACAGTGTCACTTTGCCTTCACTAGGATAACAAATGAAATATTATAGGAGGCAGCAGGGATTCCTCGAAAATGCTTTGATAGAATTATCAAATGATTTGCTTTGGCAGACTGATTCCTTTGTGAATTGAAAAGTAAAACTTTCAATTTTTATTTTAATTAGAAGGATTAGATAGACATAACTTGTGAGTATTTAAAAACTTTTTTGTATTCTAACTAATTCAGCTTATTCTAACATGTGCAGGACATTTGGAGTTATTGGCAGGACAGTTAACCACCTCTGCTTTTAAAAGAACTGAATGTTATAATTTACTTAAGCACATAAGTGACTGCCTGAATCCAGATTTTCTTTTATTACCAGGATTCAACCCACATACAATTTTAGTTTCTTTCCAAGATGTTCTACTTAGAATTGGTGGCACCAGAGTCACTTATTATTAATATCAATTATTATTATTGTTATTTTTAGAACTTCAAGTCTACAGAAATCCACCAGTCTGGGTAATCTGAAGAAAGAGACATCAGATGGGGTTGGTTCTGTGATTTTTCTGTCTGTTACCTTGGGAAGAAAATATTTACAGATCTTCATCTTTTCCTGTTTTGCAAATAAAACTTATAAAAAGAGTTACTGGTTTCTCTGATGGAAAATTATTAGATGCCATGGTTCATGATTAATATTAGGAAATACAAATATGAAGGATTAAAAGCAGTACATAAAACCAAAAGTGGAAACTTTAATTAAATATCATAGAAAGTAAATGAAACTGAAATTTTGTAGTTTAGAAGTAGATGTAGATTTCTTTTTTAATATATGGGATTGTATTTGTCAAATGCTGAATATCTGAAGGATTCCTACAACCTTAAATAATATTATTGTTGTTTTGAACAGGAAAAGGAATCTATTCAGAAGCCTTCAGAGGTAATTCTTATTGCAATATAAAAATGTTTTAGATTCCTAATATAGATAGATTGCTTCAGTAAAGCTTACTAAAAAAAAAAAAAAACCCTCGATCATGCTATTTATGTTCTTAATGGCTACAACTGGCCTTCCATTGTTGTTAGTTGCCACTTATGGCAACCTTACATATAACAGAATGAAACATTTCCTGGTCCTGTGGCACCTTCATGATCATTGGGATGGGATGCTCATGTCTGTTATTGTGGCCACTATGTACTTTTTTAAGTGCCTTCAAACCCAGGGGGCTCATCTTCCAGCACAATATTGGTCAGGAAGGAAGGTTGGGCAATCCTACTTCCGTAGTGAAACTGCCTCGGAAACCCAAGGAGGGGTCGCTATGAGTCGGGGCCGACTCGATGGCAAATAACAACAACAACAACAACAGTCTCTAGTAATCCATAAGGTTTTTATTGGCTGATTCTCAGAAGTAGATAGCCTATCCTCCTAGTTTGTCTTACTCTGGAATCTCTGCTGAAACCTGTCCCCCATGGGTGACCCTGCCGGTATTTGAAATACTGGTGGCATTTCAGCATCATAGCAACATGCTAGCTACCGTAGTACGACAAAGTGACAGGCAGGTAGTGGAATCTTCCTTAGCCTTCAAAAAAGACCCTTCTTAGATCACCAGCAGTTTATTTTATTCAACCACCACTGTCTGTCTGAAGCAAACATTTTGGTATTTTTAAGTCATCATCGACAGGTGTTCCAATTCTTCTTTACCCTGATTTGTTAGCCTTGTAAAATTTACAGTCGGTAGACAGGCCACTTTCAGGTAAAATCTCTGGACAGCTGATTCCTAGTGCCTAAGTCATAATGAGGCTGTAACTGGAAAAGCACCATTAATGGCGACAGCTTTAATTAAAATCATCCTCTGTTCTTTCTGTCTTGCCAACTCAATAAATGGTTAAATGCTTTTGACATCAGTATTTAGCCATAGATAACAGAACCACTAAATTGTAGCATATATAAACTTTTAGTTGCTATAAGCATAGATATGTAGAATAAAATAACCACCATAAAAGCCTGTATGCCTTGCCCCTTCTCTTCACTTCCCCCCAAAGAAACAGAGGGCAACAAATATTAGAGAAATGAGAATATGCCAACAAAAGCACCTTTGTATGATACTTAAAACAATATAACACTCAGCATATTACTTTTAATTGCCAATTCTAAGTAACCAAAAAAGCTTAAAATAAGCAGTGTTTGAAAGCATGATTTATTTAATCACAATTTAAATTCTTGATCAAGACCTTGAAATGCTATAGAGATCTAAAGGGGCTTCTGAAGCAATGAAGCAACAAAGAAAAATTTAATCACACTCAGTTAAGTTTTAATGTTAAGTGTATTTGAATGTATCATCCATGCCACTGCATCAATTCAGACTCATAGCAGTCCTTTAGGGGAGAGTAAGTAGAACAGCCCCATAGAGTTTCCAAGGCTGTAAATCCTTCTCCCATGGAATAGTTGGTGGGTTTCAATTGTCTGCCTTTTGATTGTGTAAATCCCTCTCTCGTGGAATGGTTGGTGGGTTTCAATTGTCTGCCTTTTGATTAGCAGCCAAGTACATTAACCACTACACCACCAGAGCTCCAGATGTATCACAGTCTTTGAAAATTGGTAATGTATGATTGGCTGCTTGCAGGCAAGACATGAATATATCTCAGAATTCATGTCAAAACAAAAACTAGTTTTTGATTGTACCTTCATTATATTATATTGAACTTCTCTTAATGGAGTTATTTTATAAGGATCGTGAACCATATTGTAGGCAGATCTGTGTCATAACTGTTAGAAAAGTAAGAAATCTGCTCCACTAGTTGTGTATGTAATATCTTGTCCCTATGTCATTTGAGGAATGAAGGGAATAAAATTAGATAATTTCTATATTTATCCTATTTGAAGCTCTAAACATATTAATTATAGATTAGTGATGAACATGTTGTTATTTTTTAAGTGAGTTTCAGAGTTGAGTTTTTTAACTTCTAATATTATATTTAGGAGCTCTGGTAGCGTAGTGCCTAAGGCACTTGACTGCTAACCAGAAGGCTGGTGGTTCAAACCCACCAGCCACTCCTCGGAAGGAAGATGGGGCAATCTACTTCTGTAGTGATATTGCCTCAGAAACCCAAGGAGGGGTCTCTATGAGTCGGGTCCAACTCGATGGCACGTAACAACAACAACATTATATTTGACATTGGTAATTAATGTGTTAGTTTAATTATCCTTTTCTGTCACATATTTAGCCTAGAGCCTGGCATGTGTTACTGATTATGTGTATTAGCTCTGTTAGTCATCATTATTATTTATCTTGTAGAGTAAAGCTCCAGGAGAAAGTAACACGTTAGGGAGCCTTCCACCCAAGGCTCCGGGACATAACGCCTCCATGGATGACAACCCCTTTGGCACTCGAAAAGCCAGATCTTCCTTTGGCCGGGGCTTTTTTAAAATAAAGAGTAACAAGAGGACAGCAAGTGCACCAAACCTGGGTATGTATGGCCATGATGCCTTTGCCTTAATTTTTTCAGAATGAGGAAAAAGATCCATCTGTTCCCTTCTCTTATTCATCTGTTTATAAACTTCTGTTCCTCAGAAATGGAAGCAAATGAATCAGGGAAAGTTAGCAAAAAATGCTCCAGTGGACTTAATTCATTGTGTGAATATCACTTCGTTCTCTGAACATAGACTCTTACCCTGCTGTGTTCTATGGTGTAAACTTAGCAGAAAGAGCTAAAACAGTGATTGTCTTTGACTTCATTATACACAGTTTCCTGCCTGTTTTGATGGTGGATAAATGAAGTCTGTGTGTAACATCAAAGACACGGGGATGCATGCCTTTCTTCCACTGTGTGTATTTTGTGAGTAGGAGTTTGATTTGTGTTTCATTTTGTCATTCCCCTGTGTTCTCTCCATTGGGCTGCGTGTGATTGTGTGCGTTGTTGGGATATCTGAAGATCGTAAACGAAGTGCCAGTGCACCCACTTTAGGTATTGTACCCCTGCATGCCAGCCTTCGCCAGTGCCATGCTCCAAACCAAGCTAACCCTTGCTCTTGGCATCTATGATCTCTAGAAAGTGAGCTGGCAGTAATCAGAAAGTGCAGGGTTTTTTTTTTTTTTTACCAAGAGTGTATGTTCCTTCCACCTTCTGCTGAAAGAGACTCTCATTGAGCCTTTGTTTCCCCTGTTTTAACCAATGCTAGTGAGGCTTTGTGAGTGGGTCTGAGAACCTACAAGTACATAGCATCCCTGGCACTGTAATTTCCAGCTCTTTTTACCCTTTAAATGCATATTGTCACACACTAACTCCCAGGTCCCTTCTTCACGTGTCTGTTTTCCTCAGTCTCTAATAGCAAATGTTATGAGCCATGTAGAGAGGTTTGTAGAAGACAATAAAGATGATATTTATAGACTTACTTTTCTTAGGGAGAAATTCTATGACATTTTTTGCTCTGACGATGGAGGTAATATTTAGTGACATCAGAGCAAACTTTACATGTTATCTGAGGAGCTGATACTAAGTTAAATGAGAAAAGTAAGGCCTTCTTTTGATCTCAAAGTGATTTTAGGGGAGGGGAAGCTTAGTCCCCCCGCCCTTTAAAGGATCGGGTATTATAGGGGGAAAAATCCTGAAAGTAAAAATGAAAAACAAAATTTTATGCTTTTAAAATGAGGGTGGGCTCAGCAACATTTTCATAAAAACCCTTACCCATCATATGTGTTGAATGGAAAGGTTCCTTTGGAGTCTTCAATAAGTTCTGTTACCTTTTACCTATGAGTCTTACTCACCTGAGTTAGCAAGGGTGATATCTGTCTTCATAGTCTTAAGCATCTAAAGGGAATATGGGATAAATAAAATAAATAGATCTTCTCAGACAACGACTTTCAAATGTTTTTACATCTTTCTTAGAAGAAACATGTCATCAATGCTAAGAGGCAAATGCTGCTTATTATAACCTATAATCACAGCTCTGCTTTATAGAAAAGTCAGTCTCTGCAACTTTTTATCTTGCTGAAACACTGCTCCGTCATTTTTGTGCAATTCTTATGTTCCTTTATAAAATGTAAAATGTGACATTGAGGAAGGAGTAGTCCTTGTTGTTGCTAGTTTGGCATCATTCACTAGGGACAGCTAAAAGAACTGAGATAGCTAATGTTTGGGATTCCAAGCGTGGCACAAGTAGATGGTATTCTTGTAAGGCAAAATCATCAGGCACTAATTTGATATCAGAAGAAAAACTTACATACATCCAGGTTGTTTTGTCAATGCCTAAAACCTGACAGGTTGGGATAAATTTCTTGAATAAAGAATTGCCAGCACTTGGTAACTGATTTGATGTAAATGCCAAGGAGAGAAAGGAAGGAAAGGAAAATGACAAGAGTTTGAACTGAAGTAATCAGGAAAAAATTAATATTAAGAAATATTAAATAAAATATTAATGAAGTGTTCAATAAGATTTGAGAGAGAAGACTCCCAGGGAAGCTGGATGGATTTTTTGAGTCCACGGTGTACCTGACACACTAAATTGGGAATATGCACAGATATTCAGATACTGAGGCTGAAAGAAAGAGATTAGGCCTCGAGACTTGGATGCCATCTGCTTATAAATTAGTAACCCAAACCCAAGCCCTCTGCCATCAAGTTGATCCCGACTCATAGTGACCCCATAGTTTCCAAGGCTGTAAATCTTTATAGAAGCAGACTATCTCGTCCTTCTCTCACAGAGTGGCTGGCAGGTTGGATCCTCCAACCTTTTGGTCAGCAGCCAAATGCCTTAGCCGTGGTACCATCAGAGCTCCGTATAAATTAGTAGAGCCTACATTTAATGGTGAGCTTAGAATGGATTAGCTTGTTTTGATGATTGTACTTGCATGAACACAATCATATGGTAAAACAGGCAAAAACTTAAAAAACTGTTTATATGTTATATTCAATTAGATTAATGAATAAGTTGCCGTGTTCCAATTTATTTCATATGAATTTGTGTTAGTCCTAAATACCAATAAAATATACCTTTTCTTTGCTTTTCTCCTTATTTTGAAAAGCTAGTAAAGTCTGAGAAACCTAATGGAAAATTGGATTATTTAAAATCTGCTGTTAACAGATTAAAGTATTATTCATTAAAAAAAAAAAATGAATTAGCATGTCAAGAGATCCTGCAGTGAGAACTTAGAATAGAATCTTGGGAGATGCATAAAGTAGAGTGGAGTGGCATAGAGGAAGAAGAAAAGACAAAAGGTACTGCAACAAAAAAGAAACTTTCATGAGAATTCTAGGACAGGGTTATGACTTGAAAGCCAAAAAAAAAAAAAAAAATCTGATGATTTTGAAGGATGTAGGAGATAGTCAAGGAGCCCTCATGGTGCAGTGGTTAAACACTTGCCTGCTAACTGGAAGGTTGGCAGTTCGAATCCACTAGCTGCTCTACAGGAGAAAAGACCTGGCAATCATTCCTGAAAAGATTACAGCCTGGGAAACCCTATGGAGCAGTTGTACTCTGCCATACAGGGTCGCCTGAGTGGGTATCGACTGGACGGCACACAGCAGGAAGTAATCAATAGCACCAAGTGCTACACAATATTGAGAATAATTTCATTAGGCATTTCAGAAACCCCAGGAAAGAATATTGCAGTCCTTGCACACTTTTGATTCATATTTTCAAAGTGGTTTTAATTTATAAATTAATCATTATCACACATACTGTAATATAGACTACTGGATAGAATATACATTCGTGTTCCATTTCTAATATTTGGAGAGTACTCTTTGTGAATCACTGATTTATAGACCAACAAGAACAAAAATGCTTAGAAGTTGCTACTACCAAACAGCTTAATATCTAGACACATTCATTTCACACTTTTTTTTATAATTCATCAAGGCTTTGCTTTGTTCTTGGAATAGCTGAAACAGAAAAGGAGGCAACTGAACACCTAGATCTGGCTGGCATATCTTCTCAGCCAAAAGATGCGCAGAGCAGCAGTCCCTTCCAGATATCTCCACCATCTCCAGATTCCAAAAAGAAATCCAGAGGTATCATGAAACTCTTTGGAAAGTAAGTAAGAAAATGACCGAGATGAGTGGTCCTTGTATATTATCTTGCTTAAATGTTGTTGTTGTTGTTAGTTGCTGTCGAGTTGGTTCCAATCTTAGCAGCTGTACAATAGAACTGTACAATAAAACTGTGTACAATAGAACTGAACACTGCTTAATCCTGCACCATCCTCATAATCATTGCTATATTTGAGGACTTTGCTTCAATGTAGAAGAGGGATAAATTGAAAATTGGCTGAAATGGAGCACAAAATTTTCAGTTTTTTTGCATGCTTCTTATGGAAGAATATTGTAACTTGGGATTCATTAACTCACTGGATCTTTATTAAAATTTAAATTGAAATGTCTATATAAATGGCATACATAGAAAAATAGCTACAAGGTATGTCTCAGTTGAAAATGTTATGATTAACTCTAAAGTCTAAGGCCACCTCAGATATAATACATGGTAATATGTATTGTGTCTTCTGTTCAGACTTAGAAGAAGTCAGTCAACTACATTCAACCCAGATGACATGTCTGAACCTGAATTCAAAAGAGGAGGGACAAGAGCAACTGCAGGGCCTCGGTTGGGTTGGTCTCGAGATTTGGGACAATCTAACAGGTAAGAACAGCCAAACCTAATGGGCTTTTGCATTTCTACCCAAGTGTCAGGTCTCATGAGCACTTGGAATGTTAAACAATCAAAGTCATTGCTTACTACCATGCCTAATGAAAAGGGCCATCATCTTTAAAGTGGTGCAGTTTGGCAATTGCTGAACCAACTATGTGAAAGATAAGAGCTAGGTAAGCTAGGTGAAGAGCCAGAACTAAAGGTTAAACAACAACTGTAGTAGAAAGGTTCATGAATGTAAATTTTAAGTGGCAAATAATTAGAACTACTCTAAAGCTTAGCTCTGGAGAGATGGGATAGTATAGTGGTTAAGATTGTAGGTTCTACAAACTAGGAGGCCTCACACTCCTGGATCTCAAAACCTACTATGCAACCACAAAAGACAAAACAGCCTGGTGTTGGTACAATGACAGACACATAGACGAGTGGAATAGAATTGTTGTTGTTGTTGTTAGGTGCTGTCAAGTCATCTCCGACTCATAGTGACCTTGTGTACAAGTGAAAGAAACACTGCCCATTCCTGTGTCAGCCTCACAATCCCTGCTATACCTGAGTCCATCGTTGTAGCCACTGTGTCAGTCCATCTTGTTGAGGGCCTTCCCCTCTTTCATTGACCCTCCACTTTACTAAGCATGATACCTTCTCCAGAGAGTGGTCCCTTCTGACAACATGACCAAAGTATGTAAGACAAAGTCTGGCCGTTCTCACTTCCAAGGAGCATTCTGGCTACATTTCTTCCAGGACAGATTGGTTAGTTCTTTTAGCAGTCCATGGTACTTTTCAGTATTCTTCGCCAATACCACAACTCAAAAGCATCGACTCTCTTTGGTCTTCCTTATTCATTGTCCAGCTCTCACATGCATAAGAGGCGATTGAAAATACCATGGCTTGGGTTAGGCATACCTTAGTTTTCAAGGAGACATCTTTGCTCTTCAGCACTTTAAAGATGTCTTTTGCAGCAGATTTGCCCAATGCAATACATCTGATGTCTTGACTGCTGCTTTCACTGGTGTTAATTGTAGAACCAAGTAATATGAAGTCTTTGACAACTTCAATATTTTCTCCATTTGTCATTTATTGGTCCAGTTGTGAGGATTTTTGTTTTCTTTGTGTTGAGGTGTAATCTATACTGCAGACTGTAGTTTTCAATCTTCATCAGTAAGTACTTCATGTCATCCATTCAGACTTGAGAACCAAGAAATAGATCCATCCACTGGTGGTCAGCTGATCTTTGACAGTGGACCAACATCCATTAAATGGGGAAAAGATAGTCTCTTTAACAAATGGTGCTGGCAAAACTGGATATCCATTTGCAGATAAATGAAATGATCCATATCTCACACCATACACAAAAACTAACCCCAGATGGATCTAAGACTTAAATGTGAAACCTAAAACTATAAAATTCCTCAAGGAACAAATGGAGGCAAATTTAGGGGCCCTGCTTTATGGCATAAATAGACTGTCAAGCATAACCCAAAATGCACAACAGCTGAAGATAAACTAGATGAATGGGACCATCTACAAATTAAATTTTTATGTGCTTCAAAAGACTTCTCCAAAAGAGTAAGAAGAGAACCTACAGATTGGGAAAAAATATTCAGCCACGACATCTGACAAGGGACTTATCTCTAGAATTTATAGAATACTCCAACACCTCAACGACAAAAAGACAAACAATACAATTCAAAGATGGGCAGAAGACATGAATAGAAACTTCACCAAAGAGGATATTCAGGCAGCCAACAAACACAAGAAATGTTCACAATCATTAGCCATTGGAGATATGCAAATCAAAACAACAATGAGATACCATATCACCCCAGCACTAAAAGCAAAACGAAAATAACAAAAGCTGGCAAGGATATGAAGACATTGGGACTCTCATACACTGCTGCTGGGACTGTAAAATAATACAACCATTGTAGAAGGCAGTATGATGATTCTTTAAAAAGTTGGAATTAGAAATACCATTTGACCCAGCAATCCCATTACTAGGTATATATCCTAAAGAAATAAGAGCCAGGACAAGAACAAATATATGCACACCCATGTTCATGACAGCACTGTTTACAATAGCAAAGAGATGGAGGCAACCTAAGCGCCCATCAACAGAAGAATGGATAACCAAACTATGGTACATACAATGGAATACTATGCAACACTGAAGAATAATGTAGAATCTGCAAAACACCGCATAACATGGAAGAACTTGGAGGACATTATGTTAAGTGAAATAAGTCAGTCACAGAAGGACAAATACAGTATTAGTTCATTATTATAAAAAGTCGAGGAAAGGTTTATATATAGAAGGAAACTTTCTTTGTTGGTTAAAGGGAAGGAAGAGGAGGAAAGGAAACACTGCTAGATAGGTTGTTGTTATTGTTATTGTTGTTGTTTTGTGCTGTCAAGTTATCTCCAACTCATAGCAACCCTGTGTACAGCAGATGATACACTGCCCAGTCCTGTGCCAGCTTCATGATCCTTACTATACCTGAGCCCATTGTTGTAGCCACTGTGTCAATCCATCTTACTGAGGATTTTTTTTGTTGATCCTCCACTTTACCAAGCATGATATCCTTCTCCAGGGAATGGTCTTTTCTGAAAACATGACCAAATAGGTGAGACGAAGTCTGGCCATTCTCACTTCCAAGGAATATTCCGCCTGCATTTCTTCTGGGACAGATTGGTTAGTTCTTTTAGCAGTCCATGGTACCTTCAATATTCTTCGCCAACACCACAACTCAAAAGCATCCTCTTCTTTGGTCTTCCTTATTCATTGTCCAGCTCTCACATTCATATGAGGCAAATGAAAATACCATGTCTTGTGTCAGGTGCACCTTAGTCTTCAAGGAGATATCTTTGCTTTTCAGTACTTTAAAGAGGTCTTTTGCAGCACATTTGCCCAGTGCTAAATGTTGTCTGTTATCTTGACTGCTGCTTGCATTGGTGTTGATTGTAAAACCAAATAACATAAAGTCTTTGACAACTTCAATCTTTTCTCCATTTATTGTGTTGGTCTATAGGTACAGACAAGTATTGATTTGGGTAGGGGAAGGGCAATGTACCAAAAGTGAGTGATCAACACAGTGGCACTGAGGAAGAGGAAGGCATAGAGAGGTACATGGGAAAAACAGACAACAAAGATGAACCCTTTGCATGTACAGTACTGTGTTGTCAGCGATGGCAAGCATTGATCTATGGGTGGATAGATGGGTGGACAGGCTGAATGATCAGGTACGACTTGGCAGGGGAGAGTGTACCCATGACCATGTATAGGGTTAGCAGACAGTGTTTGTACATGTGTGTTTGTATGTTCTGTAAGAATGTCCGAGGCAAGATGGCGGACTAGGCAGAAGGATTGCACAGACCCTCTTCAACTAAGAAAAGGGAAACCAATTAACACAGACACAGAAGATAATCTTGGACCCCTGAGCCTTGAAGGAAAGGATGCAGATTTGGACTAAACCCCAACTAGCAGA